TAAGCCCTTAATACGGATCTGCTCACTTCTCTCCAGAACGTGTAGTCCAGGCTGTCTTTGGAGCATTGATTTTCTTTTTAAAAAATTTTTTTTAACGTTTATTTTTATTTTTGAGAGACAGAGAGAGACAGAGCCTGAGTGGGGGAGGGGCAGAGAGAGAGGGAGACACAGAATCCGAAGCAGGCTCCAGGCTCTGAGCTGTCAGCACAGAGCCTGACGCGGGGCTTGAACCTACCAACTGTAAGATCATGACCTGAGCTGAAGTCGGACGCTTTACTGACTGAGCCACCCAGGTCCCCCTGGAGAATTGATCTTCTGATCTGACTTCCCCACTAGACCAAATGCCATGAAAGAAAGGACCAAGTCCGTAGTTACTGTGTCCACCCCCCACCCCTACCCCCCTGGCCATGCCTGGTGGTGCTCAGTAGATGGATGTCCAGTGGTTATAAGCAGAAGTACAAGGGACGCCAGTGTGACTCTACCACCTACTCAGGGAACCTGCAGATGAGTTAATAAGTCAGGTCTTGGGAAGTCTTTAGAAAAACGAAAGACTAGGGGCTGTCTACAACTCAACAGTATTTGGTGGGAAGAATTAAGTGGTAACACGTGAAGTAATTTGCTAAATGTATTTAGGGGGAAGTGTGAGGTTATAACATCTGAACCCACGAAGCAATTTGCAAATGTTGTCTATCAGCAAGGTTTTATCATCTCCTTTGCTGGGCAAGTTGCAAGCCCGGCCCCACCCCCCTACCGCCAAAAGCATATACATAAATGGCTATAGACATAAAGGCTCCTAGCCAGAAGGGTCAACCCAGAAGACCTGAGTTGGTGGCAACATCATCCACTCCAGCCAGTGGTCCCCATCTTCTAGTTTCTGTCCCCAAAGTTACCTTTTAAAAACAAGAGCGTGCATGCCCTTCCCTAACTCTATCCACCCATGGAACATTTTTAAAATACAAAGAAGTCAAAGGCTCTCCAAGCAAACATTAAGCACGCCCCTCCTTTTTTTTTTTTTTTTTTTTTTTGCATAATCTCTGTACTAAGTCTCCCAGCACCCAGCAGGCATCCTTGTGCTTAATTTAGGGCCCCCATATAACCAGCAGGCCTGAGCTTTCCCAGGACACATCGCACGAAGGAAAAAATAGGCTAACTTTAAGGTATCACCTGCCCTCTCAGGGCGTTGCTGCTGCGGGGCTAGTGTATCTAACCAGGTGGCGTTAGCCGTGCTTAGAGCTTTTACTGCTAAGTCAACAAAACAGGTTAGCCAAGGGACACCAATTCATATTGAAAAGGGCAGAGTGAAATGATCCAGCAAGATTTCTGCTACAGTGAAGTCTGCAAACTAAAAAGCGATCAGTCCTCCAATTTCCTAGCTAAAAATTCTTCAGCTGGGGAGAGGGGGGAAAAAATATCCCTGGACCACTTCTGCTCAACAGATACATCTCCTCCGTCACCTCTGCAGAAGGTATTTTTGGGCCCTTTGTCTTGGAAGTGGTCTTCGTGCTGTGCCCTGAGAACTCTCCTGAGATTGACTTAAAGTAGAAGGGAACACACTCGACCATGTTGAGTCTATCAACTAACCATCTAGAGAGAGGCACACCCTGAATAGCTCTCCTAAGGCAGGTACATGTATCATAAACATCACTACAGACCTTACCACGGCCCTTTGAGGCATTTAATGTCTTCTAGGCTAGTAGGTGAAGGTGGCTTTCCAAAGAATGGTCAGTAGCCACAGTAAACGTAATTATGACTTGACATAAAACAGGTAACCGCCTACCCTTGATCGTTCTTCTTTCTACCAAAAAGGACAGCTTCACTCACGTTCTGTAAGAAATGGAAAACGCTCTAGATATTTAATCTGAGGTACCCATTTACCTATGCTGTGCTCTGAGTCTTCCCATCTTTGGCTCAAAACGCAAAGCCATGTGCCTGAGAGCTACCTACTCCCTTGACCTTACGGCCATGTTTGAGGAGTTCTTGTGGTCTTATCAGTTTGATACTTGTGGAGTAGAAGGGGCTTGGAACTACTTTTCATCGCGTCTCGAGCAGTAGGTGGTAGTCAAACTGCTCCCGTGAAATCAAAATGATGATTATTTGACTTTACGAAAGGCAGAAACACTGCGATCAGGACTTCTTCAAAGCAAGGGGACTGCCGTGCCCTTACTACCTTTGCTTATTGTGGCAAAGTCTCAACAGTTGGCTGCACTTGGCCTTTACGCAGGCATCGGGCATCTGGGGCCGCAGGCTGGAAAAGGAAAGAATCCTAACAACACAGGACAGACATTACAGCGAAATGTCACATGGAGTAGCAACAGGCCGCTGCCCGGAAGGGAGGTGCTCCGGCTTGAGGAAGCTGTCACTTGCCTGGTGATCCTCCTTAAGGAGTCCAGACTCACATGTTCATTCCTCGGCCTGAGGCTCGTGATTGCCGTGACACCTTCCCGCCGTGCTACAGGCTGGCTCAAGTTTATTTGCTCCTTGCCCTCCAGGTCTCCTCTTACTGCCGGCTTCCCCAACCGACTCCCGAAGTTAGAGAAGTTTCTGCCTACTCATTTTCCTGGTTGCTGGCCACATCTGAATACCCCTCATAACACCTTGGTTCTTCCAGACTCTGGCTTGAAAATGTGGTACCCCACAGCCTAATCCTGAGCACCTGGGCTGGAGGAACACGTGCTAAAACTCCCAGGTGTCTGCCATCAGGCATACTACACTACTGAACTTCAACCTCTCTTGTTGGCCTAAGTTCCAGGCCAGGATATCAGGGCGCAGCTGCCCCTCCCCCATCCTAGAATATTTTATATGGCTACCGTGAGCGTGTATGGATGTGGGGAGGGTTTGGGAAGAAGGGATGTAGAGAAAACGGCCAAGAGCAGGCCCATATGGCCTGGGACTTTGAACTTCAGACAGGAGCCAGTCTGGGTTGGCTTGGGATCCATTCCTCCTTCGGCCAATCCCAGATTCTATCCACGTGAAAAATGATGTGCCTCTCTTCCTTGGAAGAATTTAAGTCTTGCACGGGCTCCTACTTTTCACTAGTCATGGCACCGCACGTGTTTCACACGTGGATGGAGGGGAGCCAAGGGGACCCTCACCTGCCTCTTCCAAGGTGAACATAGAGCTTCAGCTAACCCATCTGAGCAGTTCAAGTGCATCCCCAGCTTCCCGTAGGATAAAGTTAACCCCACATGGAAAGCTATCACATGTTAAATTAAAAGAATAGGAACAGAACATGCACCAAAAGTGAGTCTTTCTCCCACCTCCTGGCCGGTTAGCAATAGTTTCTGGCATACCTCAGTCTTTTGAGATGTTACGGAAAGTATAATGCACCGCACTATTGTGAGAAATCGTTGAATAAGTTGGGATTGCTCATCCATTAACGATTCATGTTCCAGTCTGCAAATTCTTGTAGGCAGGACTTTTCCAGGCTCTTAACGTGTGTGGCACATTAGAGGCTATCTCCAGGACTCGCCTTTTTCAAGGGGAAAGCATTTCAGCGAACAGTCCGGGGGAGCCTGTCGGGTCTTGTACATTCCCTTAAAGATAATACTCCTCTGGCTGCTGTACGCGGAGACATGTGACCAACCCAAACGTGCTCGGGCGGCCAGCCAATCGCGGAGGGCAGAAAAGCCCGTCCCTGCTTCACATGCTCGCTCGGGACAGCTGGACCAAAGGGCAGGGGGGCGGTCGGAGGCTTGAAGTCCCCAGGTACTGCCCTGCCCGAAAGAGGCTGCTTGACCGCACACTGTAAAGTTGGCTCACTTTAGGAGACACGTGACTGCAGGCAGGCCGGCCTCCTAGGCCACCGGGCTGCAGGAGCTAGGGACTCTGAAATGGGTACTCGGGACGGGGGCACCTTCCTGTCCCACCGCCGTAGAGCTGGCCAGCAAGCCCCGTGCTGTCCTGTCAAGATCACTCCGGGGACCCACCAGGCTTCCCACGGAATCCTTAGAAGGGCTTGCTGTCGCCTGCCCAGCAAAGTTGTGCGGCTCCAAGCGGAGCGTGGCTGAGCACAGGGCTCCCGGGCCCAGTGCGGCAGACCCTGGGGACTCCACGGCCGTCACCACCGCCACTCGCGCTACTCCCTTTGATCTATTGTTTGGAATGAAGGCTAATTACACAGTCACCAGATTAGGGCTCAATTTCTCTCGAGGAAATCTCACCGGGAACCAAGAGCAGCAAACTAACCTGATTAAGTCTTCGTTCCGCTCCCCTCCCCCGTTCAGCTGTACGCGAGACCCGAGAGGTTTACAAACACTGCGCGAAGGGGAGCGAGCAGGGGAGGAACACCCAGTGGGGAGTCCTATTTGAACCCGTACTCCAGAGCGACCACCGGGCGCCGGGGGAGTCGCAGTCCGGGTGAGCAGGCTGTGCACTTGTAGTGGCTCCCCGGGAGCCCGCCCGCTGCCGCCCATTGAACGTGCGCCCGCTCCCCGCCGCCGCCAGGGTCTCGCTGCCAGGACCTGCACCCGGCGCCCCGCGTCCCCGCACACGCCCACCTGCGTCCATCGCCCACTCACCCCCCCCCCCCACCACCACCTCAAGTCCCAGGAGCGCGCCCCCGGCTCCCGAGCGCGTCTCGGCCCGACCCAGCCCTCTGCCTCCTTCCTAACACTCCGCCTGGCAGACAGAACCATTGTTCAGTGGCTCAGAAGCCCACATTCCCCAGCCCCGACCAAGCAGGGTGAAAAACGAGGCAAAGCAGTGGCTCTGGGGGAGACAGTGTTAGGGAATGAAGAGTTCAGGCCAGGCTTTAGGATACCCCAAATCCCGCTGTCCGCCCCCCCCCCCCCCCCCCCCCAGCCCGGCTCCCCGTAGCCGCGGCGATGACAGTCGGCTCAGAGGCGCCACCAGGGTTGGGAGGGAAAGAAGGCGAGCTGAGCGGAGAGGCGCCTCCTAGGAGGGGGGTGGGCAAAAGGAGACCCGGGCCTCGCCCCCCCCCCCCCCCCACTGGCGCCCAGGCTGGGTCCGGGCAGCCAGCGGAGGGGCGCGTCCTCACTCACCCGCTCCGGTGGCGCGGCTCTCCAGGGGCGCCCAGCACAGCGCGAGCAGCAGCCAGAGCGCCCAGCGCGCGGACGTGCCCATGGTGCCCGCCTGGATGGTGCCGCCGCTCGCTCCGCACAACAAGTTACCAGCCCTTCGCGAAGGAGGAAGGAGGTGGGGGCGGGGAGGGGGGAGGGGGGAGGAGGAGGGGAAGGAGTTAGCAAGGGGGAAAGGGAGCGGGGAAGAAGAGGGCACCCCCCCTCCCCTACAACTTGCACAATCTCCTCCCCACCAGCCACCCACCCACCCACCCACCTCCCCGGGCTGCAGCACCAGTGCAAGCCGAGCCGGCGGGCAGAAGATAATGCAGGCGCTGCAGAGGAGGGGAGGGTACAGGAGGGGAGGGGAAGGAGGGGGTGGGGTGGAGAGCCGAGAGCAGAGGAGCGAGGCAGAGGAGAGCGGAGCCGGCCGCGGAGCACCCACACTGGCGGCTGCCTCCGGAGCGCGGGGTGAGCTGCGAGGAGGGGGCAGGAGGGGGAGTGGTCAGCGAGGGGTGAGGGGGGTGTGAGGGGGTGGGGAGCGGCGGCTCCAGCCCTCCTTTCCCCTAGACGCGCCGCTTTTATAAGCTCCGGGCAGCCAGGTGCCTGCGCAGGGGGTGTGCGAGTCTGAGTGCGAGCGTGTGCGTGCGTGAGTGGCCGTGGCCGTGGCCGCCGCCGCCACCGGGACTGCTCCTGGGGCCCGGCGGCTCCGCGCGTCCGCCCGGGGCTCACGGGGGCCCGGGGCGGCCGCTGGTTGGCTCGCGCGCCGCCCTCGCCTCCAATCCCCGGTGCCTGCCCTAATTTCCTGATCCAGGGAACCTGCCGCCGCAGCAGCTGCACGCTCCCTGCGGTCGTTACTGTACCCTCCCGGCGGCCGGCGGCAGTAGTTAGCGCTGATGCAACTGCTGCTGCTGTTGCCATCGCCTTCCCGCTAACGGGGCTGGCCGCCCGGGGGGACTTGCGGCTTCCAAGGGCAACACGCATCTCCTCTCTCTCTCTCTCTCTCTCTCTCTCTCTCTCTCTCTCCCTCTCTCCCTCTCTCCCTCTCTCCCTCTCTCTCCCCCTCCCCCCTCTCCTGCGCCCCAGAGAGGCTGGTACTCTAAGGCTGGTAGGTAGCGTCTTCCTCGGGCCCCCTGTCTCCACCCGAAAGTGATGGAGCCCGGGGGGGGGGGGGGGGCGGTTCTCAACTGCACGCCGAGGTGCCATTTTCGCCAAAAGTGAAATGTGCCTTTAAGCGAGAGCGTGTGTGTGCGCGCGAGGGTGCGTGCGTTTGTGGTTTGTTCTCGGTAATGGAACGGGACTGAAATAACCCAGCCTGGGCGGACGGAATTTGCTAGCGCAGCCCTGCCTTCGCTCATCCACGATTATAGTTAATTGATAATTGCACAGAACGTAGTTTGAGGGCCCGTAATTAAAAGCTTAACCTTTTCTTGTTTGGGGGAAGGGGAGAACCTGGGTTGGCGTTCCTGATACACTCTGTAACATTGAATTATGAGGCTTAGGGAAAGAGAAAAAGGAAGTCGAGGCCAGGATTCCTTTTAAGGACTGATTCTTGTTTGGTGCCCGGCGGTACCTGAGCTTACGATTTGTTGTTTGGGGTGCTTCCTCTTTCTCGCACACTTTCCCCTGGTTGAGGTGCGGGGTCTTCTGTGGTCTTTTAAGCACTTCATGGGAGTTGCAGGGCGTACCAAGCTATTTGGCTTTTAAGTTCTTATATGGGATGACCCCACATTCACAGGTTTCGAGGGGATCTCATTCTAGCACGAGTCTCTTGGTGATCTGGTGGGCACTGCTTAGCTATATTCTCTTTGCCCCAGTGCTTCTGGGCATTTATCAAGGCTGGCCACCAGATGGGACATTCGTTAGGAACTTCCTGTCTCCAGGAGATGGCCAGAGGGGAAAACTTCAGGTCAGGACACACTTTGCTGGGGCCAGAGGATGTCAGCGTGGTGACTGTTCAGCCTTCAAGGGTTCCATCCTGTGTGTTGGTGGAGTGTGGCACTGTAGGGCTTTTTGCATGCTGTCTTGCCCAGCCTCTGCTTGCGCATTCCGCACGAACTGCAGCAGCCATACACATGGGGCATGTGAAACGGAATCCAAATTTGTTGTAGGCCGTTCAGCAGTGAAAATGCATGCAAGGGTCGTTCCCCTCGTCGGCATGAAGGTGTATACAGCCTTCGGGGCACATCGTCTCCGGTATCCTCAGGGTTCTGAGAGACCGTCTGAGAGTGAGCTGTGTCACTTTCCAGAGGAAGAGATGAGTGGAAGCGATATGGAAAAAGCGCCACGTTAATAAATAGTCATGGGGCTTGTTTCTAATAGTTTGCTCGGAGATCAGTGCCTGGGTACCACGACCTAAACACGGGTATGACGGAGTAGGCTCACGGCTGACACACACGTATTATGATGTCTGCCTCTCCAAGGGGTATAAATAAACCGCCGGTGAATTTAGCTGAGGCTCTGGGCTCCATCGTGGCGCTTTATTGTTGCTTCGAAAGGAAACGTAACTCTTGGCTCTACCTCTGATTGGCTGTGCAGTGTAGGAAAATCACGGTGCCTCCCTGTGCCTGCCTTCTGCCCTGTAAACTGAAAACAAACCAGTCCACGTAAAGTCAGAGTGCTCTCTGGTCTCAGGGACCAGCTTGCTGCAAAGCATTGATGGTTAGAAGAAAACAGCTATAAGAAGAAAGGAGTTTGACGGAGAGAGAAAAGGGCTGGATAACCAAGATGATGATGTTTATCACAAGTGGAGACTGGTGTGGTTGAACTAGCTGGTCTCAGAAGGGTTAACACTGCTAGCTCCAGGAGCCTTCGGGGAAATGCAGAGGCAGCCATTCACTCCCACAGTCCATCACATTCATTTTTGTTGTTGTTGAGACGACACACATCGGGCATCCTTGGCTCGTGGTCCCTGTGTTATGCGGTGGGCATATGGAGATGCCTCCCCAAGGAACTCAAGGTCTGCTGGGGAAGGCAGAGAAGCAGCAGCTCCGGCATCCTCGGCACAGCCCGAGGAATGCTCCAGGTGCTATAAGATGACAGGGGAAGAGTAGCTAATCTGGCTGGGGAACGAGCGTGTCCAACAAGGCTTTCCAGAGCAGGTGTCTTGGGGCTGAGTAGACGCATCATGTTTATTCCACGTTTATTCCAGTTTTTAGGACTGCTGGGCACGTGCTGGGATCCCACCTTCCGGCTCCCCTGTTGGTTGGGCGGGACTGAAAGACGAATTTTGGCCAATTATTTGTGAGAAGTCACAGGGTGCCACTTGGGGACTGGAGCATTTCATGGCTTGCAGTGAGACCCCGTCTTTTGTCTGCCGTCTGATGACCAGAAATGCTCAAGATAGGACTGCTTCGTGAACCCGATCTGTGGATGACTATGTGAGTAATTCTCTGCTGTCTATATGGGTCTGGTAGTGGTCACGTAGAGTAGAGGTCAGCAAATGGCCAGCGGCCTGCTTTTGGAGGGCTTAGGGATCTAAGAACAGTTTCTACATTTTTAAAAAAGGATTATACCAAAAACAACCACCCCCAAACAACAAACGGACTAAAACAAAGAAGAAAAATATGTAACAGAAACCCTATGTTGCTCGCAAAGCCTGAAATATTTGCCACCTGGGTCTCGGGAGAAGCATTAACTAGCATTAACCCTGGCTGACTCACTGGGAGAATGGAGAAGGAAGGTGGGGTTGAGCAAGTTAAGAAAAAGGCAAAAGAGAATCAGGTGTTCAAGGCCATGCCAGGGATGCAGGATGTTTCAAGGGTGGGTTTCAATTGGGCCAATGGGGTGAAAGAAGGCCGCGGAGGAAAGGTCAGGACTGGATTTCGTGGAGATCTGTGCGTCATGGTGACTTTGCTCTCCATCCTGAAGGCCGTGGCGAGGTGATGGGCTGTTTTTTCTTTTTAACTTTAAATAACTATTTAAAATAATTTTACTTTAATTTAGTAAGTCATATAATTCTCTAAGGAGTAATTATAAAATACACAGGAAAAAAGTATTTTAAACCTTACTCTGAGTATTGAGAGAGATTAACATATTCCATCTCTTAACTTTTAAAAATATATTTAACTTTATGCTCACGGCACAAATTATATCGACATTCCTATCATCGGTACAGTTATGGCTCTCTTTATTTGCTAATTTACTTCTGTAAATATAAAAAAAAATATCCACGGGCCCACTGCTGCTCCCGAGTAACAGAATATTGACAATAACACCTATCTATGGAGGTCATTCCCTGTGAACACATCTAGTCCACTGTTATTTTGAGTTTTGATTGGAGCCCTGATATCCGGTGCAGTCTAGAACGTTCACACTGGCAGTGGTATGAAGAATGACATATTTGGGAAGCAGGTAAGATGAGAAGAAGAACACTTAGGGGCCTTGGTAGTGAGGGGAATGTGTACGCAAGAGGAAGAAACTATTTTTGTGCTCAGTCGTGTTCATATAATTTCTTTGTGAGATTTTTCTTTTTATTTTTTCTTTAAAAAATTTTTTTTTAATGTTTATTTGTTTTTGAGAGAGACAGAGACAGAATGCGAGTGGGTTGGGACAGAGAGAGAGGGAGACACAGAACCTGAAACAGGCTCCAGGCTCTGAGCTGTCAGCACAGAGCCCGACGCGGGGCTCGAACTCACAACCTGTGAGATCATGACCTGAGATGAAGTCGGACACTCAACCGACTGAGCCACCCACATGCCCCAAGATTTTTCTTTTTTAAAAAAATTTTTTTAATGTTTATTTTTGAGAGAGAGAGAGCGAGCGAGCACGGGGGAGGGGCAGAGAGAGAGGGAGACACAGAATCCCAAGCAGGCTCCAGGCTCTGAGCTTTCAGCACAGAACCAAGATGTGGGGCTCGAACCCACGACCTGAGAGATCACAACCTGAGCCAAAGTTGGGCGCTTCCCTGACTGAGCCGCCCAGGCGCCCCTGTGAGATTGTCCTCCTCAGTCCTTTGCTTGTATCTCTTAGAACGGAGTTTTCCAAAAACACGTAATTCATGAGGCTCCCTAGCAATGGCGGCTGAAAGCGCAGGTTCCCAGATCCTCCCTTGGAGATCCTGACTCAGTGGATCCCAAGAGGGCCGTGTGTGTTATCTCAGTCCAGTTGATTCTTAGGATCAACTAAGAAACTTTGTTAGAGAACGTCTCCTTCGCTGCAATTTGAACAGCCAGGCAGCTTCACTGTTCTCAGATATGCGTACACGTCTTTGTCCAATGTCTCCAGGGCCGGCAGGGTGGGGCCCCAGAAAATGCAAGTGTGAACGTGGGACGTTTCCTTTTCTTTAAGTCCTGTGCACTAGCAAATAGGGGCAGCAGAAGGCATCCTCGAACCGATAGTTTGAAGCCCTAATTACTGCGTTTTCTCCCCCGTAGCTGTGCCATAGGGAGAAGTGACGTAAACTTTCTCCCTTCAAAGGATTTTGTAACTTCTGGGGCCTCCGCCAGATCCTTTTCTGATCGAGTGACAGGCCAGTGACGTGCATAGGATTCACCCCACTCCAGGCTCTGTGAGCGGGGCCTGGTGGTCTAAACCCGTGGGCATGAACCCCAGCTTCTGTCAGAAATGACCCGGAGGTCTTATGAAAACATGGATTGCTGGGCCCCACCCCGGACTTGCTGTTTCAGCAGGTCTGGGACGGGGCCTGAAGATTTGTATTTGCAGCAAGTTCCCAGGTCATGCTGATGCCACTGGTCAGGGAACACACTTTGAGAACCAGTGTTCTAAACCCCTCAACATAACTTACCCCCCCTCAGCCCCTGTGATTGATTCAAGGGCCTCAACCTGTCAGCCCGTGGCCTTCTGGCCACGCTGTTGGGATGCTTCAGCCCTAAGCATTTAACTCAGGCCTGTCTCCTTGCAGCGAAATACAAGACTTTTCTTGGCTAGAAAGGCACCCTCTTTAGAGCAACGTGGTGTATGGACGTTTGGCCGGAACATGTACAGACATTGTGCCACCTTGAAGGAAGCCGGTTTGAAGGCCAGCCTGACTCACGGAGAAGAGGAGGCTGAGAAAATCAGAGAGACGGCCCTCAAACTTGACCCCCAGCCTGAGGCCAGTCTCCTGCAAGTTGTGATTCTGTAGGACTTCCCGCTTACCTGAGCCCGTGAATTCCCTTTGTTTGCATTAGGCCTTTTGGATTGAGTTTTCACTTGGTAAGAAGTAACTGACTGACACAGGTGCCCTCTTTTTTAAAATTTTTTAATGCTTATTTTTGTGAGAGAGACACAGTGTGAGTGGGGGAGGGGCAGAGAGGGAGACCCAGAATCCAAAGCAGGCTCCAGGCTCTGAGCTGTCAGCACAGAGCCCGACACGGGGCTTGCACCCACGAACTGTGAGATCTGAGCCGAAGTCAGACGCTTAACTGACTGAGCTGCCCCGGTGCCCCTCGAGGTGCCCTCTTAAGGGATGTCATGGGCATCCTGTAAAGCACTGGGCAAAACTCCATCCAGTGAGGGTAACTTGCTCATCCTGGAGGGAATTCAGAGGGTAGCGTACTAGGAAAGACTCTGCTAAAAGCTACCTTCTTGTGCATCATGGTCAAGTCAACTCCCCACCCCTCCCTCAACCCAAATCAAATGCTCAATGCCCCTACTGAGGATTACCTTCTCGCAAAACCTCGTTAGAAATCTCAAGGCCGAATGCTGTTTTGCGGGCTGCTTTTGAACAATTTCAGAAAGTGAAAATGTAGCCAAACTTGGTAAAGAGTTTACAGCCGGAATAAAACTCCAAATAGGTTGAGGATGAGGTTAGACCAGTGGCTCTCAACTGCCAGTCATCCTGTCCCCACGTCCCCTGCTCCCCCCACCTCGCCGCCACCCCCCCCCCCCCCCGGAACATTTGGCAGTGTCTGGAGTTTTAGTTTTCATGCCTCCGGGACTGGTACTAATGGCATACAGTGGATAGAGCCCAGGCTGCTGGTCGACAAACAGCCTACAAGGCACAGAACAGGCCCCCACAACAAAGAATGATCTGTCTGGTCCAAAATGTCAGTGGTGCCACGGTTGAGACATCCTGAGCTACCCAGAGAAGTCAGATGATTCTGTAATGTGCAGTATGTAATGGGTAGGGTCAGGGGACATTATTTGGAAATTGGATGGCTCGGTAGAAAGACGTTCTCTCTCTGAACGAAGAAAGCACGATTGGGGGTTTGTTCAGTAGAAAAACAGATGTGAATGCAGCATCAGAGGGCCGTAGGGGGATTTACCGACCTGGGAAAAGTAAAGTGAACCACACGAAGTTTATATTTCAAATTGAAGTAGACTAATATAGGACATCCACAGCCTGGTTGCATTGTGACACAGCTGTCTTGTATTTCCAGGGTTCGGGGTTTTGTTTTGCCTGTTTTTCAGTCAAGGAACGAAGCGCTGGACCAGTTTTAAGTTTATTTTCCAGAAACTCTTGATATTTAATTCCTAAGATTCTGGCCTCGCATTTGATTGGTCTCCTATGTCGTAACCGCAGTTTATAGGAGGTTTTGGGATGTAGTGCTATAGCATTTAAAACACACGAGGGGCGCCTGGGTGGCTCAGTTGGTTAAGCGTCTGACTTCAGCTCAGGTCATGATCTCATGGTTTGTGGGTTCAAGCCCTGCGTCGGGCCCTGTGCTGACAGCTCAGAGCCTGGAGCCTGCTTTGGATTCTGTGTCTCCCTCTCTCTCTGTTCCTCCCCCGCTAGCACTCTGTCTCTCTCTCTCTCAAAAATAAAGATTAAAGAAAATAATAAAACACACATACACAGGGAGTTTCTAAGGAAATGGGGACTTTGTGGCTGCTATGGAGCCAGCTAAGCCTAAATGTTCATTAGGGCATAAGAATTTTAATCTGCAAGTTAGGAGTAATGCAGCAAGGTCTTTAAGTATCTACCATTTCATCACAATAATTCAATTTTTAAGCTTTTAGGAGTTTTGTGAAAGTGGATAGTTGAAGTATCTAATCTTCTTTCTTTTTTTTTTTAATTTTTAAATGTTTATTTTTTTTTTAAATTTTTTTTCAACGTTTATTTATTTTTGGGACAGAGAGAGACAGAGCATGAACGGGGGAGGGGCAGAGAGAGAGGGAGACACAGAATCGGAAACAGGCTCCAGGCTCTGAGCCATCAGCCATCAGCCCAGAGCCCGACGCGGGGCTCGAACTCCCGGACCGCGAGATCGTGACCTGGCTGAAGTCGGACGCTTAACCGACTGCGCCACCCAGGCGCCCCAAATGTTTATTTTTGAAAGAGAGTGAGAGAGAGCCAGAGCACGAGTGGTGGATGGGGCAGAGAGAGACGGAGACACAGAATCCAAAGTAGGCTCCAGGCTCCGAGCTGTCAGCACAGAGCCCGACACGGGGCTCAAACTCACCAACAAAAAGCAAGATCATGACCTGAGCCGAAGTT